AATATTATATGACATTGTCCTACATTTGTAGGATTGATATGCTTATTTGTTAAAAGGTAATTAATAGCCTTACCTGCAAAAGAAATAACAGACGTTAACTTCAGTCGGAACTGCTAAAACTGGGCGCGTATTAATTTATCTGTCCATTGTAAAATCAAAGACGGAGCATTCCCTGGTATGACGTAAACATCGATGCTACTTTTATAATAAACAATATTAAACATTTAGATCGAAACATTCTAATAGCTGGAGATGTTTTACGAGATATCTCTGTAATTGCTTTGTGTAATCGGGGTACTAGAGGCATCAGACTACAGAAATAGTCAGTTGGTTTCAATACCGGAATGGCAGCCCCCAGATTTCGCATGGCGGACATGCCTAGTTGATGAAAAACAGACAGTTATGGAAAAAGTACGCACAGTATTGCTAAGAACGAAACAAATAGTTGTACCCATGACGTTCAACTATCTGCACATATACAACAAATGTCATGTTATTGTTTTGTTAGACCTGTAGCTGTGCAGTCCTGCAAGTGTAATATGCACATTATTGCTGCATGACACTGCAAGTGACAACCAAACTGCATACATATCAAGACAGCTTTCCCATAGAAGGTGTCATAGGTCAGTTTTCAAGAGTAAGCAAGAAGTATTTATTAAGATATTGAGATTTTTATTTCGTACGAGTTTCACTTGGATGAACACAAAACCAAACCCTTAACATCATGTAAATTAAATTAAGATTTTAGAATGTTAGAAATTGATTCCAGAGTATTTAAAACCACTGTGGTCCCCCGATTTATGGGACTTATTGTCGGGGTGCAGTGGCATACTGTAACAGTGTGTAACTGTCTTTGAAAAGTAGGTTAAACTTCAAGGTCATGAGGTCAAACAAGAGGTCCATAGGCCACAACATTCACCTGAGTAATATGGCCCTTTTGATTCTTCATCAGCAGATTCTTTTCCCATACATTTCTATGTAAAACTTTGATTGCCCATTGTAGCCCCAACCTACCCCCTGGGGTCATGATTTGGCAAACATGAATTAATCTACACTAAATGTGGATGCTTCCATATAAATGTGACTAATTAAGGTTTTCCTGTTCTTGAAAAGTTTTTTTTTTAAATTTTATATGTATTCTTATTTCCCACCCTACCCCTGGGGTCATAATGTGAACAAACTTGAATCTACACTTCCTCTGGATGCTTCCAGATAGATATGACTAGTCATGACTGTGGTTCCTGGGAAAAAGAATTTTCCTCAGTAAAAATATGATTGCCCATTGTGGACCCACCCTATCCCCAGGGGTCATTATTTGAACAAAAATGAATCTACCTGAGGATAATGACTGATCATGGCTTTGCTGTTCTTGAGAAGATTTTTTAAAAAGATTTTTCCTATATATACCAATGTAAAACTTTGTTTTTTACTGGCCCCACCCTACCCCCTGGGGTCATTATTTGAATCTACAATACCTGAGGATGCTTCGATATAAATATAACTAATCATAACTTTGGTATTCCAAGGAAATAGATTTTGAAAGATTTTTTTTCTATGTGTTTCTTATGTAAAATTTTGATCTCCAATGTGGCCCCACCCATCTCCCTGGGGTCATGATTTGAACAAACTTGAATCCACACTATGTCAGAAAGATTTCTTAAGTTTCATCTTTTTTGGCCAAGTGGTTGTTGAGAAAAAGATTTTTAAAAGATGCCACCCAACTTTTACTATTTCCTAATTATCTTCCCTTGGAAGAGGGTTTGGCCCTTCATTTGAACAAACTTGAATCTCCTTTACTCAAGGATATCCTTTGCCAAGTTTGATTGAAATTTGCCCAGTGTTCTGGAGAAGATGGAATTGTTAAAAGTTTATGACCACAACAATGGCAGACAACGGACAAATTTTGATCAGAAAAGCTTACTTGGGCCTTAGGCTCAGGTGAGTTAAAAGTCATAGAACATTCAGAAAGGTCTTGTCACAGGAGTGCATATGTAAAACCCTGTGTTCCCCTTTGGTATCTTTATGAAGCACTGATAATTTAAAACACACTGCTTTATACTAACTTTAAAGCACTTTAGCATAAACACTGAGGCAACTTAATTAGCCTAAAAGTTTAAAAATGCTTTATCAATAAAATATTCCATATATTAAAGGGTTTTTATCAGGTCTCAAAATTTTTTGATATGAAAAAAGTTACAATAAAGGTTAAACATTTTAAAAAGATCAAACTTCAGGATGAGGATGTATAGTCAGGTAATGAAGTCAACAAATAGTATAATTGGAAAGGTCTTGTCATAAGCAATACACATGTAAAAATATGAAAGCTCTGTCTCTTCAGGTGCAAAACATACAACCAAGGTTAATATTATTGAAAAGAATGTTAAACCGCAAGGGCAAAAAAAATACAGAAATAAAACATTGGAAAGGTCCAATCACAGGTAATGCACAAAAAAAAAATATAAAAGGCCTATCTTCTCTTATCAACCAAAAGTTATGACCAATGTTAAAGTTTTTGTATCGGCAGACTAACAGACGAATGAGATCACAGGCACCTGAAGTGTAGACACCCCCCCCCCCCCGCCCAACTAACTAACAAATATTAAGAGACTTTATTTTCTAGAAAATATGTGATTTTTTCATCATTTCTATCTGTATGCCATTCTGTGCAATTGGTCTGTACTTTTGTTAAGGTTTAAAAATTGGCCATAGACTCCTTTTATTTTATTAGTTAGTTGGGGGGGGGGGGGTGGTTCCACGCTTCAGGTGCCTTTATGATTAACCAAGAGCTTACGTTTGAATTTCATTTTTAAATTTTTCATGAATAAGAATAGAAATACAATGTATACACCTATACATATGAGTTTCCCTTTAAAGGAGATAGAGTGGAGCATCATTTTAAAATTACAATAAACGGAATTTTTATGCATAATTTAAAAAATTCTAGTAGCTAAAAAGGACCAGTCTGAAATCTCTGAAAGGAGTAGCATTTTGAAATTATTTACGATAAATTAAGCTAAAACAAAGTTTATCACAAATGATTTTCGTAAGTCTCGATAGTAATCGGATTTCGATGTCAACGTATTTTGAAAGTAAAATAGGCCTAAATGTATTCACATATATATACAAAATAATCTTTTGAAGATCGGGATCGGAATTCATTATAATTAGAAGTGACAGGTTGTTTGTAAACAGCAACGAAGCAGGACAACGTGTCTGGATTTTATGACACACATTGGTTTACTTTTGACGACGAAAATACACCTCCAATATATGCATCAATACTGAACAATATATGATCGCATTTAATTTTACGGATTTAAACTTAAAAAAAAAACGAACAAACAAAAGAAAGCAAAAAATTAATCTTTTAAAGATGGGAAAATCCATTTATAGAGTGAGTCACAGAACGACCTGCGATATTTGAGCAGTCCTTATCATTATAGATAGGGAGGAAATCTTCCTCGTTGTTTGTCGTCATTCGGATTCAAATTTAATTCTCAGTGATGACAGATTTAAAAATTGTCGCTAATGGTAAGTATAATCAATATGTACATACATTGTAAATTAATTGAAATATGTATTGTTCACAAACTGTTATTCATTCTATAAAATTATCTATAAAGGCTTTTTTGCGATTTAAAAACGACAATATCGATTAATATGTACTTTACATGCCTGTTAGAGCCTATGCTTGGTAAAGTATCTTTTACATACATATTACTTATACCTGTGTATCGGAAAGTAAGTCATTGTGACGTCAGTGTTTGTGTGGGATTTGTATGGATCCACTCTAAGATTCTAAAACAATTATCCATAAAATCCATAATGTCACAATATTAAAGTAGGATCCCCATATGGACAAGATTCTTCACAATATTTATGTAAATTTTTCTTTGATTGTGATTAGAATGACTAAATTTCATGTTGAAATCGAACATATATTAATTACTTGTTGCTGAAATATTTTACGAATTTTATATTGGCCGACTTTTGAAACTATGTTTTAAAAGTTAAAAATGCTTGGACTCTGGAATTTTTTCCAGGAGAGGTCCACCCGTACATCCACTCAAAATAAAACTTTGACTCAGAAATTTTTAATAACTTCACCAACCTCAAAAAACCTATTCGGTGGGAATCTCTTTACCAACTTACCAGGTTACTGTCTGTGTTCCCTTTGCGGGGGTTGTTGTTGTTGTTGTCAAAGATGATCTTTTGTTTTCTTTACTGTATAAATTTAATAACTTTGAAAATTCCAGGGGGTCGAGTGGGAGGGTCCAGACCCCTACTCTCTTAGATCTGCGCATATAAGACAGCAGAATATCAAAAGTTCTAAATTTATCGGAAATTCAGGACATACATGTAACTGAGAGTCAGATGAAAAATGAAAATATACTTGGGAGAGAGAGATAGAGAAAGTTTCATACATTGAAACCAATGTTTTTCCTTATATACTCGATTGCAAATAGCCAGTTTTGATTTCTGCAGGTTGATTGAACTCGAGTTGGAAATTTTACACAAATGTCGTGTTGTAAATTTTGAATTTACCGGATGGCAGTCAACAGGTCAATACAAAATTTACAACATGACACAAACATCAACTGGTTGAATAATTTGCCCAATAAATGGCTACTTGTAGATAAAGAGGACGATGGCAAACATGCTGATTCCAATCTGGCGACCAGTCGGGAAAACCAAGAAAAGGTAAATCATTTAACAGTATTTAAAGGACTGATTTATTCATCAAAATGTTAAAAGTATATGAATTTAAGAAGTAACAATATGTAATTTTCAGGTACCCGAAAAAGAATGGACTAAGGGTATGTGACCCTTTTTGCATCACAACACGCATATGATTTAAATTCTTTTCATAAAAGTAAAATAATCAATATCAACATCTGAAGAATATAAAAAGACATTCTAGTTTAAAATTTTCGAAGGAAAGCCATTTTTGTAGCTCTGTCTCTTTTTCTGTCTTTGAATGTGCATATAGATCAGGAATATTTGAAAGAATATTTTGCCAAAGCCCTCGGACTACGACCTCCACCAAAACAAGTGTTATCTACGGTTGACATTGAAGGAATAGCAAAACTGATTTCAGAAGGAAAGGCTAAAAATATCATTACAATGGCAGGGGCCGGAATCTCTACATGTAAGTTCATTTCCGGTTGTTCTGAAGCATCACAATGACAGGGGCCGGAATCTCTACATGTAAATTCATTTCCGGTTTAGTTCTGTAGCATCACAATGGCAGGGGCCAGAATCTCTACATGTAAGTTCATTTCCAGTTTAGTTCTGAAGCATCACAATGGCAGGGACCGGAATCTCTACATGTCAATTCTTTTCTGGTCTATTTCTGCAGCATCTCTGGGGAATGAATCTCCACATTGACGATTCCTTCCAGTTAATTTCTATAGGTAGATGGTAGATGATCACTTTTCTGAGTTTATTACACATGCCTGGATTGCAGATTCTACTGGCCCTTTCAATTGTTAGCATAAAATAAAAAGAATTTAAACAACCTGTACATATCTGAAAATATATCCCTGCAATAAACATAAAATCTACGATCTAGTACCTTTAGAAAACTACTTTTAATTCTATTCAAACATTTAAGACCAAAGATCATGAAGTCCCAAAAAAAAAGAAAGGTATTGCATTGTTTGAAAATAATCCTCGGTCATCGTTTTTCATGCATATTTATTATGGTAATATCCGATAGATTTAAACTCCACCCACCCCAATTGATAATGTCAATAAGTAAAACATTAAGAAAAGAAAAACTAGAAGTCTCTGACACGACCACGGCTCTACTGGTATGTACGTATACTAAAGAGTCTACTTTAATATGTGTAAAAGGTCTAATCAGACTAAAACTGTAGGAGTGGTAGCGTTTTTTAAATTCTAATTTTAGTAACCCTGGCAACACGTTTGTCTAGATAAAAAAACAATGCTCAGAATTAATATCTTAGTGTTGTCTACTCGTGTAACAAATCTTATTAAAATTAAGCCAAAACTGCACGGTAGGAGGTGTAGCGTTTTGAAAGAATTTCAAAGATGTATCTATTTTTAGAATCATGGCAATACCGTTTGTGAAAAATAAAAAATTATGCATTTAGTATCGTCTACTTGAGTACGGACCAAAACTTTAGAAGGAGAAGGATTTTGAAAAAAAAATGTTTACAGCCAGAAGGAAATACAGATGAATGGATGACGGACACCTTATTAATGCATGCTTAATGCTTAAAAGCAGATGGGATCATTATTTTTTGCGTGAAATTTTAGATTAATCAATGTATATGTTGTAAACTTTGAAGTTTCCATAAGCTGCTGAATTATAAACACAGAAGATAGGCTTAATATTCATCATGAGAGGAATAAACTCTAGATCCTCGCTAGTAAATGTCCTTATTGTGTAAATGTCCTCTAGCTCCTGGCATTCCTGACCCTAAATCCTCGCTAGTAAATGTCCTTATTGTGTAAATGTCCTCTAGCTCCTGGCACTCCTGACCCTAAATCCTCGCTAGTAAATGTCCTTATTGTGTAAATGTCCTCTAGCTCCTGGCATTCCTGACTGTAAATCCTCGCTAGTAAATGTCCTTATTGGATTTTCGCGAGTATCCACGTTGAAGTTGAAGTATATAGACCTTACAGAAAGCATATCGACATCGCACGAAAAATATACACAAGTAAACAATTTGATGTCTTTGTATTTTTTTTTCTTTCTTTGAATGAAGCTCACAACTTCAGGGGTCCTGAGTCCACATGTGGTCGTCCCAGGACCACGGGCGGACAAAGGACCCTTGATGTTATAAGGATGGAGTGAAGCCAGTGCCTGCATGGGCATACATTATGTACATATGTAGGTCAGGATATGCCACTGAAAAATTCTTTATTCTCAATTAATAATGATGTAGTTTCATCATATCACTAACTTCATTACTAGGGGTACGTATATACTGTAAATCATGATGTTCTAGCTGCTGGCATTCCTGACTTTCGATCTCCAAAGACGGGACTGTATGATAATCTGGAAAAGTTCAATCTTCCAAACCCTCAGGCTGTCTTCTCCATCGATTACTTCAAGGTCAGTCTCAGGAGAGAGAGAGAGAGAGAGAGAGAGAGAGAGAGAGTTGACAACTTTCAATGAGAATAATAACATACCTTTGAGATTTACAATTTATTTTATTGTTTATTTAAGGAAAACCCAGTTCCATATTTTACAGTTAGGAAAGAAATGCTGTTAGGAAATTTCAAAGTAAGTTTTTCATCAGCTTCTATTAACTTATACATGTACTATTAGAATTAAAAATGCTAAATGCAGAAGAGATTCTGCAACGTCGATAGGTCTATAATGTCAAAAAAAAAAAAATAAATAAATAAACTTTTGAATTGAACCAAACGCTGTAAAAGGACAATATAAGAGTATGGAGAATTTTTGTGCTTCAGCCTACGCCATGTCACTACTTCATCAGAATGCTATCAGAGAAAGGATTACTACTCCGTCATTACACACAGGTACGTTAAATTCCACTATACAGCAATACATACAGGTACGTTAATTTCCACTATACAGCATTACTCACAAGGTACGTTAATTTCCACTCTACAGCATTACATACAGGTACGTTGAATTCCACTATACAGCCTAACACACAGGTACGTTAATTTCCACTATAAAGCATTACACACAGGTACGCTAAATTCCACTAAACAGCATTACATACAGGTACGTTGATTTCCACTATACAGCCTAACACACAGGTACGTTAATTTCCACTATACAGCATTACACACAGGTACGTTAAATTCCACTATAACACAGCATTACAAACAGGTACGTTAAATTCCACTATAACACAGCATTACATACAGGTACGCTAAATTCCACTATAAAGCATTACACCTGCATACGGGGTTTATATCTCTCAGTTGATTCGATACGCAAGAGCATGCTCTACGTACATGTATGAACAATTTCTAAAACGAGGTAAATTATTAACAAACAAATTGATGAAACAAGAATATCAGCAGTCTCGTTTTAAGTCATCATTTCATAAGTTCTATGGTCGTTACTATGACCTTGTCAGCAAATATAATTTTTCATTGAGTCAAATGCTGACTGACTTTTTTTCATACTTATTGTTAGGCCATTATTTACACACTGATTTGTCGACGGAATTTCCGTTATTTCCCGATCGTGACAAGGAGCACACGGCGGGTGTGACCGGTCGGGAGGGGATGCTCACTCCTCCATGGCACCTGATCCCACCTCTGATGTCTTAGAGGTCCGTGTTTGCTCTGCTCCTATTTTGTAATGTTTAATGGACTTTTGAGCTCGAATACTGTTCGTTATCTCCGCATATTTCATTTCACACAGGTACGTTAAATTCCACTATACAGCATTACATACAGGTACGTTGGTTTCCACTATACAGCATTGCACATAGATACTTTAAATTACAATATATACAGCATTACACACAGGTAAGATGCATGTACGATAATTCCACTATACAGCATTACACATAGATACTCTAAATTCCACTATACAGCATTACACACAGGTAGGGCCGCCTGCGTGCGCAGTGGTTAGAGCGTCTGCTCTGGAGTCGCGTAGTAAGGAGCTGAACCTTCCGTCGCGGGTTCGAATCCACTGTAGGACGTGGAGACTGGTCCTTCGGATGAGATGGTATAAACCGAGGTCCCGTGTCGCAGTAGGAGCTGGCACGAAAAAGATCTCTCCCTGCTCAATGGCTATAAGTGCTGAGTATAGGTATAAATTTGCAGCCCTCCACCGGCAAGTGGTGGTGTCTCCATATTAGTAAAATTTTTCAGGGAAACTGGATCCGCGCCTGAAGGTGCCTTCCGTCTCTTGTACTTGGGCATTACATATTCAGTACATGTACGTTTAATGCCATAAACACAACATATATTTTTATTAATTTAATCATTAAACAATGGATGGATCAATCATTACAGAATATTGATGCCCTGGAGCGGACTGCAGGGATTGATCCTGATTTAATGATGGAAGCACACGGGTCGAACAGAGTTGGGCACTGTTTGAACTGCTCCTCAGAATATTCACACAAGTGGATAAAAGGTCCTCTAAACAATACGCAAATTTAATTCAACAATTTGTAATATTTTAATAGAGGATATATTATAATAACTTTATTTGAGATTACCCTTTTTATATGTATTTCTAGATGTTTTAAGGAAAGATGGAATTCCAAAATGCACTGTAAATGGATGCACTGGGACTATAAAACCAGGTAAACATTAAATATTAATCATTAATTAAACATATCTGTGACCTTCATCTTTAAAATTAAAATAGGTTTATAGGTAAAGTGGAATAAAAATTGTAAATATCATGTTGCCTGTCCCCTGGGGCCTGAGGGATGGGACCAAAACTGACAAAATTGATGAAATCTTCAAAAATTCTTCTCTATTCCTGTACAGGAAAACGGTTTTTATGTCTATAATGAGCATTAGCCCTCTAACAACCTCATTTCCCCCCAGCTGAGTTCAGGGTCATGCCAAGGGCCTATGTAGACTAGTACATTCGTGTACTGACCCCCCCCCCCCCCCCGGAAGAAGAAGGACCTGTGAAACTTGAAATGTCAATGGCAATTGAAGTTATTGCTTTTTATTATTAACAGATACAGTCTTTTTTGGAGAGCAACTGCCAAAGAGGTTTTCGGAGCTTGTAGAACAGGTACAATTTCAGGACATTAACTTATCGTTTGAGGAGAATATCATTCTGGTAGAGATTCAATCTCAAATTATAAAATGTTAATGATATTCTGTAAAGTTGCAAATTATTGAGATATGTGTTGCTTCTCCTGATTTTGTTAATACAAATGTTGACAGGACTTTGATAAGTGTGATCTGCTTATTATTTTGGGAACCTCGCTAAAGGTCCAGCCATTTGCGAGGATCACCAGCAGGTACGCGTTTTATAATTGGATTTTGGTATACTTTATCTTGTTTTATTAATATAACCCCATTTTTTGCTCCAAGATTCAGAAACATTTATTTTAAAATACGGCTTGGCCAAGATCATGTGCCCATTTCCACCTGAATGATGTTATATAGATATAACTCTTTACAGTTACATCTAATCTAGATGTCTTTTGTTGCATTGCAAAGATCAGAATGAGAGCTTTCCATTGATATATAATATCATATATATAGTATCTGCATCTTTGAAAAATCAACAGAATAAAGTCAAAGATTCATAATTTTTAAAGCGTTATGCTGTTGCACTTGATTTTTTACATTATAAAAAATGGTTATTTAAAATTATTTTGAATGAAACATTCCAAAATAGATATACATTATTACAGAGAAATCATTCTGGTTAAGTTTATTTTTTACAGAAAAGAAAATGGATAAAAATTGTGGAAATTATGAATAAATTTGTACAGATATACCTTTGTTATATAATTTAAGATTCATCAACGTTTGAATAAATGCGTAATTTCTAGCAAAATATAATTTCTAGCAAATATAATGTGTTTAAAACTTTTTATTTTACTTAAGAAGAAAAGCACTATGAGAAAAATATAGTGGTTATATGGTAAAATGTGTGTACATTTTGTATTTTTTTTCCATACTGGTTTAATATTTTGTATAGTCCGTAGCCCCATATTTCATTATAGTCTGTGTTCAACAAAAGAATGTATAATTTATCATGCTCTTGTTTAATATTTTCACAGTTACCAGTGAAGTAAAAAAACAGTAATGAATAGCTTTTGCGCTAACACCAAAAGAAGTTATAGAAGAATGATTGGTGTCCGTAGCCTTGTATAGTCCGTAGCCCCAATATAATAACGTCCAGAAAAAGTCATATACATTATTGATACAATAACTACAATACAATAATATGTGTATTTGAACAAATGCAATGTTTTTAAATACAAATACCACTATGATTAAAGAAAAAGTGTCTGAAAATTAACATTTTTCAAATAAAGGCTTGCTTCTGTAGTCTGTCCTGCTATGTTTGTGGTCACAACATATTTCTAAATATACATGATAAAGTTTTCCTTCTTTTGATACATACTATCAATCCATTTCGAATAATTAGCATTGGAATATTTTAAAAGAATATTTGGCCACTTTTATCCTACTTACAAAAGGGCTACAGACTCTACAAATAAATTAAGCAAATTTACAGACCATACAACTGTACTTCTGTATTAGCAAGATATTTTTCCTGCCTGTATCTACTGCAAAATGGGCTTAAATGGTTTAGTAGTTCTCATCAACCAGTCTTAACATCCCATGGATGTGGGATTTGATCCCAAAACATAAGGATCAACTCCTTACTTTTCAATTAAGTACAAAGTGAGACCTTCACTCTTATAATTGCACCACCCAATCTACTTGTCACTGAATTGTAAAATTTGAAATGAAAAAAAAATCTTTATGGATAAATATTGTATTATTAATTTTTTTTTTTACTTCAAATGGTCAATCATGTTTTGTAATTTTTTTATTGAATATGATCATGATCATAAATTATATACTGATACACCTTTTGAATGACCAACTTGAGCTGTTTGTAATACATTAAAATAAAATAGAAAAAAAAAAAATATAAAGCAATATAATCTGTAACACCCCCCATTCCCCTTCCCCCCCCCCCCCCCCCCACCGCCCCCGAAAAAAAAATCATGCCTTGATTTAATTACACCTTCTGTTGCTTTTATTCATCATAGTTTGAACACCAATAATGCTTTAATTAGTTGAACTGGAATTTCATTTGGCATTGAAAGTACACAGTACATTAGACAATTGATCTTTAAACATGATACATGTATTATAAATACTCAAACTAAGTGGTGTGAACTGTTATAGAAAACCAAATAAATAAAAAAAAAATGCCCAAAATTTAATTTTCTTTAAGATGATTGTCCACAATAGAGATGTTTAATGGTATAGTCTGTAGCCCCAGTGCTCACATGAAATTCATCCTTCCAAGATGCTAAATTAAAGATCATTCTTGGTCTTTAGATGGTCATAGACTATATTTTGTTATCAAAACACTAATTATACATGTAATTCTGACATGTACTACATGTATTTTATTCTGAAAATTCATATTTTACCCGTATTGGGAATTTATAGGAAGTTTTTGTTTTATTTTGTTAAATTTTACAGGATTTTTGTATAAATTGATTTAATATCTAAATGAAAGGATCTATTAAACACGTGTAGACTCCAAGATGATAATTTTAACAAATATTTTCTGATACAAGCAACTATTTTTCTATGGTCTAATCATTAAATGAAAAATACTCTCTGTATAGTCCGTAGCCCTAGGTCTCAAAATAGTCCATCAAAAAATATCTGACACAGTTTTTTTCTGAGTATTACCAAATAAGTTTGAAATTTTCATCCCCAAATACAGTTTCTTTAGAAAAAATGAAAGTACTTCAAAGTATTTTTTCTTCAAATGTCCAAATATTAAGAGTAGAAAAACTCTCCAAGATTAACAAATTTACCCATGTCCTTTATATGCTGTAACAATTTAATGGAAATGAGTTATGTGATTATTTTTGCTCAGACAATATTTTGTGAAGAGTTTATATTTGAATTATACTTTTTTGTTCAGTTGAATATGATAAAGATACATGTTATGCCTGATTATGTATAGTCCGTAGCCCACTTGGGCCTCTCTTATAGTAAGAGTGAAATCTTTTTAACCGCTTGACAGAAATGGACAGAAATTTCAGACAATCTGCCAAAAGGATGTAGTGTCACATAGAACTTGTAAAATATTTCATTGGACTTCATTTTTTTGTTAATCTGCAACCAACATGGGCACCTGATCTTGGCCAAGCCGAATAAGAAACTAGTTCTACGTAATAAATTATATCTTAATTTAATTGGCTTTCCCATTTATTGTGCTGTAATTTACCCACATTCATTTATTTGTTTTATTATGTACTACTATTATAAATCTGGTTCTTGTTCAGGTCTTTGGGGGGAGTATTAAGACAAATGTTCGATAGTATCACGGAATTTACTATGTATATAGGCGTGCCTGTAGTGAAGATCAACTTCTACTGTTACGGTAGTTCAGTTTCGTTTGGTATACTGTGTGATTTTCAAGTTGGCGATCAATCTAATTTTAATACACTCTAAAAGTGAAATGTTTAATTAGATATTGAATTTAAATAAACTGGTTACTGAATTACTTTCAGAGTCCCTGATGAAACGCCTAGATTGTACATCAATTTGGAGAAAAGTGGGACGGAGGCGGTATGTGAAAGCTTTCGCTTTCAAGTAAAATATGTCACGATTGATTTTCTTTGTTGTAAAAAATTAGGGATGGCAGCTAGTAAAACCCCTGTCACGTCAAGGTTGGTCCTCACGGCGATCCCGCGGCGTCCATGAAAAAAGCAGAACGCCGAGGTGCGCGCACTAGAGTCTCCTACAGCGCCTCAAGAACTCCAAGTGACGCTGTAGGGTCGCCTAGAACGCGACGGCGCGCACTTTGAGCATATACAAAGTACGCGCCGTGCCTCTGAGTTCTGATATACACGAAAATGCAAAGTAAAAACGCCGTAGGTTCACCGTAACAGCACAGTCTCCAACAACACCACAACAGCTCAGTTTGCGCGCTCAAGCAACGCACGTGATCGCCATGACATCTTCATATTTTGGAAATTTTAATGAATTTTCCCGATATTCCACGGCGATCCCAGAAATTTAATAACGAAGTGCCAGCTCTATAAAATTTTTACTATAAAGAAGAATGGGCGGAGGGAGCGATGATATAAATAAGTGAACTTAAAAAAATAGTAGCATTTTTAAGTAATCTCTCTCTCTCTCTCTCTCTCTCTGCGTGTGTGTGTGAGGGTGTGCGTGTGGGTGCGTGGCGAATTTAAGAGGTCGCACCCCTTCCCACCCCCAAATTGTCAAATTCAAAATAGACCATGGTTCCATCTTTGAAAAGAAATGAATTGTCGGATAAGGTTTATAAATAAAAGGCTTTATTTTTATATTCTTGCAAGGCAAGAGTTTGGGGGGGGGGGGGGGGCTTGACTCCTAGGCTTTGATTCCACAGACCTTCAAATATTCTTAGTTTAAGGACATACGCAACGTAGTTTGAACTCTATATTGTCTTTTTCCCTGGATTTGAAGAGTTCCGATACTTAAAGGAAGTGTGTGCTACATTTTAATGTTTATATATGTTTTGTACACTTCTTCTAAAACAAGTTTGGATGAACAAATCATTTAGAATATATGCTTAGTAATTTTTGTATATTTTTCTTTGAATTATACAAGAATTTTCATCAACTGGTATCTTTTCAAAACCCCTGGTAATGTATGCTGATTTTTTTGTCCACGAACATCTGATGGCACTGTAATCTTAAATTAAGAATATCTTGGAAAATTATAAGTAGGTAAGGTACGTTGCGTATGTCCTTAATAGATCTAATCACTAATCATGACGACAAAAAATAGTACAAATGTCTACAAGAAGACACTTTTGCCCTTCTAAATCTCTGGAATCCTGGAGTATTCAGGGGCTTCGCCCCGTTGGTCCCCACCAGGGCTTTGCCCTGAAACCGTTGGTGCCTCGAGGCGGCCCCAGATCCCCTGCCTAATCAGCCCCCCCCCGCCCCCGGGCGTCTTTGTGTTTTGAATACATCGATACAACATCGATTTTACTTGTTTCAGAATCACCCCCTGTGTGTCTTGGTCTTCGGTGGGGGATTTAAGTTTGATGACGAGGACAATTATCGGTGAGTTGTTTAATTTTTTTTGTTAAAAAGAAATTGACCCAAGTAAACTTCTAGTAAATCTTAATCACAAAGCAGTCCTTGCAATGAGTATTTTAGACTTTCTAGGGAAAGTGCTGGTGTTGGGCACTCTGTTTTAGGATGGTGTATTTAGTGTATTTTGTGTTTATGTCTAAATGTAATAATAAAAATTAAAATTAAAAACCGCTGTTATTAGCAGTTTTTAAGATAAAATACTTTTTAATGCACACAGGTTTACAGAAAATGATATATTTCCAGAACTGACCGTTCTGAAACCTATTCCCTGTGTTTTCTCACAGTGACTTCAATCTTGGGAAAGAGATTTTGAGTATTTAATACATTTTTCAAAATATAGAAAAACTTAATATCTTAGTACCATCACAAGGACTGAATGTTACATGGACAGAAAAAAACAACATGTTTTTACAATTTTGATATTGGATAAGTTTCGGAGAATATAAAAATGTGCTTTTTAATCACGAAAGAGAGGACGACACGCAAGTCTAAAATTGTCCTATGTGAAATGTACTATCACCTCAATTACCTATTTCAGAAAAGAAAGAGAATGTTTTTTTTTTTTTTTTTTAGAGACGTGTTCGTGGAATCGGCGTGTGATGAAGGTTGTTACAGACTGGCAGATCTTCTCGGATGGGGAGTGAGTAGTCTTCAGGCTTCGCTACTTTCCTCATGAACAGTTTGTGAGGAGAGTAGCGGATCAGAAACGCTTGGCTAGGGAATATAGTTGACCGTTTGTAGAAACGCTTGGCTAGGGAATATAGTTGACCGTTTGTAATACGAAAATCTTTTCTTTTATAAACACTGAAGTACATAATCTGAACCAGGTGTTATGAAAATTTTTTAACATTGAACTTCATCAATCTACCAGTTGATTAAAAGTCTGGACCCAGTTTTACAAAAGAATTTACGATTAGCACGGATGAGACCGTATAAACCGAGGTCCCGTGTCGCAGTAGGTGTTGGCACGAAAAAGATCCCTCACTGCTCAATGGCCCTGAGTTCCGAGTATAGGTATTAATTTGCAGCCATCCACCGGCAAGTGATGGCGTCTCCATATGAGTGAAAAATTCTCGAGAGGGACGTTAAACAACATTCACACAAAGAAACACATACGATTAGGACAAAAATGTAATTTTGGGAATATCTTTTTATGTTACATTACATTAATTTGAAAATCCTTTTAATCTTTTTAAAAAAAATTTGGAAGTTTGCAAGATTTTATAAACAACTACAGTTGTTGGTCTTAGTCGTAAGTTCTTTTGTAAAACAGGCTTCTGATCTTCATTAGTTGGTAAAGTATAGGTACTTTAATAACTTTTGCTTATCAGTAATGAATATATAGTATCTTGTTTTAAATGTACATCATAATTTATCCAGGACGACTTAAGAGCTCTTGTTAAAAGGGAACATGCGAAACTTGAGCTGGAGTTTGAAGAGGAAGAGAGGGCTTGGGCGGCTGAACAGGTTCCCGTCAGTACACCAGCTAACCAGAAGCCTTGTCAAATCACTCAACAGCAGCAAAAGAAGAGCGTCACATCAAATAAAAAACAGAAACAGAAACATTGAAACGAGAACGAAAACCTTAATACTAAGATTACTTATACTTCATCAAAGTCACAGAGAACAGGCCTAGGATGTCTCTGAAGTTTAAGGTGGAACGTCTCTCTGATAAGAGAGATAATTTCCCAAGAAAATAATCCCAAAATGTCCAATAATTTGACTTAATAGAGTTTAGTAAAGGGAACCTTTACATAGTCAATTCATTCTAAACCGTTATAGGTATATGATACACTTATATTTGCTATTGCCAATATTTTTGAAAGCTACTGATAATAATTTACCTAAATCGTTTGTACCGTTTTAGCTCACCCGAGCTGAAAGCTCAAGGCTTTTTGTCCGGTGTCCATCTGTCTGTATACTTTTTTGCATTTTCAGCTTCTTCTCAAGAAGCACTGGACCAATTTCAACCAAATAAGTGAAAAATTAATGGCATCTAAAAAATTTTTTACAAGAACCACTTGGCAAGAAAAGATGAGTCTTATGTGAAAGCTTCATTACACAGTGTAGATGCAAGTTTGTCCAAATCATGACCCCTGGAGTAAGGTTGGGTTACAAAGTTTTACATAGAAATATATAGGGAAAATCTTTTAAAAATTTTCTTCTCAAGAACAGCAAAGCCATGATTAGTCATATTTTTACGGAAGCATCCTCAGGTACTGCATTGTATTAAGACACGGTCAGGAGTCCTCATATAGCTCTCTGAATTTGTAGAATGTGACATGAATTTTGCGGAAGATGAGATTCATTCACTGATAGAGTGTACATTATATAGGCTTGATAGACATGCATTTTTGAGGATATTGCAAAAAATAATAAATTTTTGTTGTAGTTTAACAAATAATGAAAAAGTGCCATAGCATATTTGATAGGTATTTTTGCCTACTCTAATAATGATTTCTTGTATACGTTTTAACCACGATTTTGTCATGCAATCTTAGTTTAAACATGGGTAAACTGAAATTACACAATAAAGACATTTAAATATTAATAGTTCTCTTATATAATAGATATGAGAATCTTGAGTTTGTATGGAGTATATAGTAGATATTGAGGTATCCAAACAATGACAAACTGGTATGATTGATGAAATGTAAACTTGGTTATTCCGAGTTCGAGCCCAGCATATTCCATCAATTTATGCCTTTTTTTATTTTTCTTTGTGTACCTTTTCTACGTTCTACGTTTTCTTATGAAATAACTAACAAGTGGGAATATTTGTCACATGATCAAATCATGTGAAGCCTGAAGGGCAACGATGCAGGTAGTGTAGATTCAAGTTTTTTTTTTAAATCATGACCCCCGGGATAGGATGAGGCCACAATGGTAGATTGAAGTTTTTCATACGTAAAATCTTTAAAAGTCTACTTCTCAAGAACTGCAAAGCATGATTAGTCTTATTTATATGGAAGCATCCTTAAGTTATGTTTGTTCAAATCATGACCCCCGTGGGTAGTGAAGCCAAATTTACATAGGAATACATATAGGGGAAAAATCTGCTTATGAAGAACAGCAGAACCATTATGACTAAGGTGAGCATTGTGGCCCATGTCCCTTTTTGTTTTTTAACTGTTATAAATTGGGATATGTCTGGCTCTTTATACACAATTTAAAAACTACAGTTATTTATCATATACAATATATAGACTTTTCATTATTAGTATATATTTCCTTTGAAAAATATTTTAAGGAGGCTTTAAACACTGCACACTGAAGAGTTCAAAGTCCATGGTACATGTAGTTTAATGCAGTTAGAGTAACTTGCCTTTTGATGTAAGATGGAGTAAACGGAAATCTACAGTAAATGACATAATATGAAATAGGTTATAAGAGTCTTAACATTAAATTAGACCACGATCAAGTATTTAACCAAATGTAATTAAACAACAATGATAATTTATGTTCACTAATGTTTCATGGTCTTCGAACACTTTTTTTTTTTGGTCATCATATGGTTGGTACCCTATGTTGAAAAAGATGTAGATAAGCCCAGTATGTACATCTTTATCGTTCAGTTAATGATGTACATCTTTAGGGTTCAGTTAATGATTAAAGTGCCAGAAGTTATCAGTACCTGGGGAGTGGCAGGACCAAAGAAAGAGCTACATACGGTAAAGGCGTATTTTTGCCCCCGATGAAAGCTAAATTTCGAAAATCTCTAGAAATGTACACAGTTATATATATTGTATAAAAAAATCTGAATTAACAAAAAATATTGTAGAATTAGATTACTGGCAGTTCTTGCTTCTGTGACGTCACAAACTATGTGGATATTCCGTTATTAAAAAAAATGGACAAAACGGCAAAAAGTTGTTCAATTTTGATTGTAGAATTAACAGAGAGGAAGCCTTCTCCAGCACAATATTCACATATTTCATAGATATTATAAATCTTCACAATACTTCAAAAGATCGAGTTGGAGCAGACTTGCGCTCGATGACTTTCAATAAAATTATGGACGTAAAATACACCTTTTTCTCTCAAAATCATGGAAATTTTGAATTTATTTCATCATGCACCTTGACGTCATATCTAACATATCGCATCATGGCTGATAAAAAAATGTTATGCTTTGAGGTTTGCAGATACCTTCCTCTCCCCTCCCCCGAGTTTTGAACGTAATTTTATACTTTTTCATCAAAGTTTAATTTTGGGGGCAGATATTGGTCACTACCGAATTCCTTTGTTTACGGGAGATAACCGTTGATCACAGTTAGTGACTCTCCGATAAAGAAGAAATCCTTTATGGGTCCCACACCACGTGTGGACTCAGGACCACTGACGTTGTGAGGACGGTTAATAATAAGAACCCTCTATATACACTTAAGCAAAATGCTTTTAGACATTTAGAAAATATATTGTATAAAGGAGCTTATCCTTTCATTTTTAACATAGGATACCTTGCATTTACCCCCAGGAAAATGTTCAAAGATTATGACTTATTGATGAAAGAAATTACTATCCAAATAAAGTTTCATTTTTATCTGGGCCTATCAAAATGTTAAGAATTTTAAAATTGATTACAAATTGAGTTAAACACTGTAGATTTCAATTTCTTTTATTTTAGATCTATGGCAGATTTCTAACTGCATAAAAATACCTCAGAATGGGAACTCTTTAGTGTGCAGTGTAGAGAAGACCCTTAAAGTGGTGACAGCAAATTTTGAAGGGCATTGGTCAAGTTGTGTATAGTTTTTACATCACAATTCTGTTGAATAAAAAAGTGACTATGCAATTTATACTTAAACATTAAGAAATATATACATCTTAGAGCCATTTCATTAAATGAAGTACAGTGCATAAACTTATTACACGTATGGATTTAGAGGCTTTCAAAAATAAGGAATGTATATGTCAGTTTTGCAGCCCTGTATTGTTTAAGTGTTCAAGTATTGTAGATAATTTGTAGTACATCAGAGTTTATATAAAAATGTTATGTCTCAAAGTACATGTATAATATACATTCTAAAAACATAAATTACAATGTTTATTCCTAGAGACGTAATTCTCGTTTCTTGAACAATGTATATACATGCATATATATATATATATATATATATATATATATATATATATATATATATATATATATATATATATATATATATATATATATATATCTAACATAAGTTTGTTTTATATTAATTTATAAACAAACGACCCATTAAATTACTTGTAGCTGTCCAAATATTTAGAAATACCGTTTTGTTTCTTTGTTTGTTGTTCTTTTTTGAAGGGTTTTTCTTGAATATTGGACAGTCAGGGCTCTTGACGATTAGGAAAGGTTTGCAAATTTTCTCCAACTAAAAGAGAACTAAAGTTATCATATCTGGAACCCATTTTAAGCAATACACTATATATTAATTTCTGACAATGGTCTTTGATCTTTTGATAGCAAAATCAATTGGGGTCTTCTTTAATCAGTGGGATTATCATATATATTCATTGCAAAAGCTAAAGCACTTAAAGATCTATCATCCAGAGTCTATTTAAAGTGCACTTGTAATGAATATGACAGACGGACACACCCAAATTAATATCCCCACTTTTATAGCAAAAGCGGGGGAAATAACTGGTGGGAATGTCTGGATTTGAATCTTTCAGACCCCTCTTTCATTATTGTTCAAAATTCATACATAACGAATACTCCCGCCATTTGTCAAAACATCCTCGACATATCGAACCCGATTCAATTTTTTTTTTAAATATAGATCGTTCTTCTAATTTTTAAGAATTATATTTCGAGGCTTCTATCTTGAAATTATAGGAATTTATATGGTGTATAACATACATATATTTTGAAAATCAAAACAATTTGTGATTATATAAGTTTATTGTTGGACCACTACTCTTAAATCTGGTTTCCGTTTCTTCCATATCGTTAGTTAGGAGAACCAGTTTTTGTCTTCGCCCATCACTCTATCCAAGTTTCATGGTAAGCATTCTGAAGTCATATTCTTTTGATTATTATATAAATCACCGATTATGTATGTGATTTTCTTTAAAATATATAGAAATATGACCTGGAACTTAGCAAAACTCTATGATATTCGCCAAACATTTATTTTTTTATGATCTGTGTTTGGAGATCTTATGGCGAACGTGACGCCATCTTTCTCTCTTTCCATTCTATCTTAATACGTCTCTAAATTCTGCAAGGTAAAATTAAACAGGTAAAAAACTTTAAAAATAGAGTGATGATATCATGTGTTGCTTTTTTATATATTAGAACTTAGAAGAATTTAGCCAGGAGTATAAAATGCTGTGAAATAAATTAAAACGGGGGCGGATCATATATTCTATATTAATGACATGTAACGAATGAGTAAACGCAAAGCGCCCTTGACTGTAAAAACTTTTACTTTCCTTTTTGGTAGCTAAGAAAGATAGACTAGTATTACACTGTAACTTATGAGCAAATAATGCAGTTATTTTTTTTAAAGAGAGAGAGAGAGAGAGAGGCTTCTACTTTGGTTGTAGCGGTATTTTGTTATATGCACACACATGGGTAGATTTTGTTTCTTGAAACACAAATACAACTATCAGAATCAGAAATTTTTATTTAAAGTCGGATTTTTAAATTTTTTGTCTTTGAACAGTTTTCCTGACAGGAGAATTACAGTTCCTCTTTTTTGAAAATGAAATAGATCAACTCAATACTTTCATCATATGATATGATTTTCTCAGAGTTCAGATGCATTATTCATTTATAGTGAATAGAGGTTCCTTCAATTTGAGAAAGTTAACTAAAAACCACTCTTTATATTCAGTCCTTAAACTCAGACCTTAAACTCTGTAAGGCATGCATTGACTAGTAAACATTTTACAGATAATATGCGACCATGGACAGTGTTCCAGGGCGAGATTTCCCATACCTTCATCATGAAGCAAACTTCTGCCCCTCCCCTGACATGGAAGAGAGACCCACCTCCATTACTTACCCTTACTTAACCAACCCTGGTCAGTTCTCCAACTCTCAGTCAGGTACAACAGCATTTTGTTTTTTGTTTTCTAATAACATAAAATTCATGCAATAAATACATGTAACATATTAGAGTGATTCATACACAGTACAAAAGGTGAAGTACTGATTATTGGGTTGTTTTTAAGCACCTGGTTTTCCATATCAGCGATATGATGCCTCCCAGAATCTAGACAGCCTCAGATCTGCCACCAACCATCCACACCCTCTTTTGTTTCCTGGATCCCACACTCCAGAAGCTTCCAAGGAAGAACAGGCAGTTTCTCAGCTGGGTAACTTGGCAAGCAGTAAACTAGTCCCCAACAGTGCTGGTGGCATTGACCTGAGTTCAACTTCACTACAGTCTGCTCATCTAAAGCATGGTGCCTTAGGTGCAGTGGGAGGAGTCCCTCACAGTTCTGTTACAGACATTCAGACAAAGGTCTCCTCTTGTTATAGCCCTTACTTTGGAAGCTATAACAATCACCAGGAAATCCAACAAGCCACCTTAAACCAGTTGGCAGAAGGGCTGTCCTATCTGCAACATTCAAGACATTTTTCAGAAGAGGTGTTTCCCCCTCAGCAGGGTGGAGAAAATCTTTCATATGTTATGGGCAGGACAATCCAAGGTCACTCCAAAGATGGAGGAGGCCTGGGAGTTTGTCAAGAGACCGTTGATAGCATGGCATCTAAGGAAAAGATACTGTCTCCATCCTTCTACAGATCACATGATGAGAATTTTACCAAACAGAGTGCTACCAAAGGTTTAATTGATGAAAGAAAATCTGTAGCTGCCAAATTGTCTCACCTCAGGGGACACAACACTCAAACTTCACAGCAAAATAAATCTATGCAAAATACCCTAAATCTTAGTCAAGGAAGATCTCGAAATTGCAAAGTGAAATTCATACTGAAAGGAAATCTAGCAAGGCCTTATCCGTTGTTGATTAACAACCCCAAACCTTTTGTGGATTATTCATTTGATCCCGTATACCAGTGTGATGCTACTCTGTACGGTGATGATGTCTGCTTAATGGACTCTGGTGTGCAGCACTTCTGGCCATACCATGACTCTAGAAGAAAACTTTCCAGACCTACAAATCATCAAGGAGAGTTTCCACATGCTTCTTACAGTGAGGGAGAGGGAGAAGAGGATGTGTCATCAAATCCGCTAGACTTCCTACGAGACTTTGTTTTGAATGAAAAAGGACAGCTGAACAACAGTGATCTCAAAAAACTGAAACAGAAGCTACATCAACCATTTGCAATAACATCTCCAAGTTTTAACAAGGCAACAGCACCAGCTGTCATGACAACCACTGTGACAGATAATGCTACCATGGTAACCATATCTATTGCAAATAAAAAGCAAGGAGTTCCTGCAAGAACTACCACAGTGGATTCTGGGATCCAAAGTGTAGTCCAAACTTCCAATCAGAACAAAAATTCTACAGACAAGTCCAAAGTTTTTCTAAAAGGTAGGAAAGAAGGGAAAGAAAACCATAATGAGTCTATTGAACAGAGGTCAAAATCTGATAAGGAAGAAAACAAAGACAGACTAGAAATAAATATAAGGATTGATGACTCTCAGTTAGTTCAATGTGGTGATCAAAAACGCTGGCAATGTCACTTGTGTGAGAAGTCATACACCACCAAACACAACCTGGTTACACATATCCTTGATCACAATGGCATCAAACCCCATTTGTGTATGGTGTGTGGAAAATATTTCAAACAGTTGAGTCATTTGAACACACACATGTTAACACATGACAACATCAAGCCTCATGTGTGCTGCATCTGTTCCAAAAGCTTTACACAGGTATCCCACTTAAAGAGACATCAGGCAGTCCACTTATCTGAGCAGCATCCTCATAGGTGTGACACTTGTGGAATGGGATTTGCCTTTCCTGGGGAGCTTCAAATCCACAAAGAGAAACATGAAAAAGGAGAGGAAAATCGATGTTCTGAATGTGGAGAGGAATTTGATAGTCAGAGGGCACTAAAACTTCACGTGGGGTACCACAGGAATTTTCCCAACCTTGTTTGTAAATACTGTAACAAATATTTTAGATATCCAAGTCAGCTCAAAGACCATCTTTTGTCTCATGAGGGAGCAAGACCTTACATATGTTCTGAATGTGGGATGGATTTCTACAAAGTAAGTATACATGTTTATAAATTAAATAAATATATGTATATTTTGGTTAATAAACTCATTAAATATTATACAATTATTGCTGGTTTTTGAGGTCAATACGATGATTTAGACACCTTCGAAGTACAATATTCACCGAGCCCGAAGGGCGAGGTGAATATTGTACTTCGAAGGTGGCTAAATCATCGTATTGACCCAAAAAACAGCAATAATTGTTTTATTATATGATTCAATGATTAAATGACACACACTCATTAAGCAATCCGTGCCATCTTACTTGTTCACATCTACTGAAGTACTAGCCGAATATCAGAGAAAAGGAGTTAAAAAACCAGTTGTATTATTTTGAAATTTTTAATTCTAGTTTAGGTGCAATGTAGAAAAATAAATGTCAGGCACATATATAGGATTAATTTTGAAAAAGGGGGCATTAAAAAGGAAAAAAAAAATGACAACGTACCTGAAAACAAATCTTTGACTAGCCCCCCCCCCCCCCTAAAAAAAAAAAGGAAAAGAATTCTCCCAAATCAAAATTTTATTTGGTGGGATGTAAAAGTACATAAACTTTTCGAGGGGAGGGGGGCTTACAATGAAATTTTTTATCCTTAAAATTTAAATTAAAACTTAACATTCTCAAAAGGTGGGGAGAGGGGCAGGACTCCTGCAACCCCCCCCCCCTCCCCGACCCCTCACCCAAGAATCTATGTGCCTTAATGTTATGTTCATATGAGTGGATGTCATATGCAAGTGAAATAACTTTCCAAAACTATTTGCATCAATTTGGAATTTCCCTATCTATTTTTAGTCCAATGTAGAATAAATAATTCCTTATATTGACCTGGAAGATCACGTGCAGGTCAATATAATGTAGTATTTTTCTAACATTGTTGGATCTCAGCCAATCAGAGAGATGGGAATTATTCAATCACATAATAATTGTTTTTACTCAATTTCACATACACATTTTCCTAAGATTTACCAGGATTTTACTGTACCAAAAACTGGACTTTTCTCAAAAATATATTGCAAACACACAGTCAAACTTTGTTATCTTGAACTCGATAAGAAAAACTTCGAGATATTTGAGTATTCAAGATATCAGGGGTGAAATAGTCAAAGAATAAGTGGTTTGGACTTTCAAATCACTTTGACATATCCATGGTATTTGAGATATCAGTGTTCAAGATAAATAGTTCAACTGTATATGGAAATATACCTGTATTTAAAAATTAAAAAATTTATTTTATTAAGATGGAATAATTTCTCAGATATTAATCCAAGATCTTCTGTAGGAGCACCACTTAAAAGTTCATGAGTACACACACAGTGGCAAGAAACCATGGGAATGTCCACATTGTGGCCGCTGCTTCAATCAGAAAGCCAACATGCAGCGCCACTTGCTGATTCACAACGCTGAACGGAAATATAAATGTGAGACTTGTGGGAAGACTTTTACACAGCCGCAGACTCTTAAAGCTCACATGGTGGTCCACGCTGAAAAGAAACCATTTGAATGCCAGTTTTGTGGTGAGAATAAACAATTGCTATACATTCCTAGGTGACCATATTTTTTCGTGCAAAGCATGTATGTGATTGAGATGTTATCATGGTTATAAATCATTTCCAACAATGTTTGTAGCTGACAAAACTCACGATGACATAAGCCTGATCTTAATCTTTCCTAGAAAAAAGCTGTATGCATCAAATAAATTCTGTAAAATTTGTTATTTTTCCAATTCTAACATTGGATTTGTCAGATGCGAAATGTAGGCCTGTTTAACAGTTCCATGACACATGAGTTTCAGCTTGCCACTTCCTACTTTGGTACTCCAATCTACAGATGAATTGATTTTATTGTAAATAATTATTTTTAACATAATGCTGAATTGCAAAGATATAAATGAAACATGTTTTAATGGTATTTGCTTATACATGTATATGTCAGTTGATATACTAAAAAATGTATTAAAAAAAAAAAAAGTTAAAAAAAGGGAAAATGACAGTTAATTCCTTTTCAATTATGTATAAAGTTCTTTTTTTTTTTTTAAATTAAGGTAAACAGTTTGGGCGTCTTCATAATCTGCAGGGCCATCTACACATGCACAACAATACCAAACCCTACATATGTTTCTGTGGGAGCTCTTTTACACTCAGAGGTATGTATTTATCACTTGCTGTCACAGATTCTTCTGTAGTTACTTTTCTAAGAGTATATACATATATACAACAGCTGTACAGGGCAATTTCATATGGACCATATGGTGCTAAGAAAACTTATGATAGTTTTGTGTAAGTTTAATTCTCTTAAAATGCATTATGTATTTTTGTGCTATTTTCCACCGACCATTAAATTACTACACAATATCGCTATGGTATGGAGGACTTTAAAATTTTAATCTGAAATGAATTCAGAACTAAAACCTACATCAGTTACAGTGTACATGAACTTATTCAAATAAGCTAAAGTCTAATGGTAAATGATTAAATTTGATTTTACAAAGATATTAACGTAAACAACTCTAACAAGATTATATAGTTGAAAATTGTTGTTTGTCTTGAATATTTTTAAGGTTCATTTAAAACTAGACGTAAGAATGGCTAAAGTTCACAGAGATTTGTCATATAATATGCTATAAATCTCAAGTGAAGGTATGACAAATTATGATGAATAGCCAGTAATGATACTTACAATGTTTCATTTTGATTTATCTTCCATCACCAGTATTTAACTTGACCATTTTAATTTGCACTATAGACACATCTGACTTAAATCAGGCTGTTTTTGATTGAATTATAGCAATCCTGAAATTTTGTTTTGTGTATATCTGACAGATTTAGAAAAGAGACTGATATGTATAATTTGTGTTTGCCTGTTTGTTTTTATCAGATATCAGTAGTTTTGTTCCTGTACAGCAATAAAAAAATTTTTGTAATGTATCTTAAGATGTGTGGTGAAGATTTTAGACAAATTTTCAGAGTTATGGAAAATAATTACAAATCACAGTTTGGCATATGTTGTATTCTCCACAATTAGTAGAGAGACAGATATCAAAAATGTTACAGAAAAGATGCTAAAGAATGTTTAAGGTTTTAAAATTTTGTCAGGAAATCTTAACCGCCATAAAAAGGTAAAGCATGGATTGAATGAGAGCACAGAGAACTTAGAAGAAGAAGCAGTAAGCTTTCTAAATGAGTTGAGTGATCGAACAAGGCCAGAGTCCGAGGCCAAAGTGAGAGGACAGGAGGAGAATCTCTCAGAGACGATAAACTCCGAAACGGATGATGAGAAAGATTCGGATCAGAGTAACTCAAGGACACCAAGGAAAGCTCGAAAATCAATACCTCGCAAGTATACTTACAAACGTAGAACACACCAAGATGTTTCGGAAGATAATTATTCAGAGGAAGAAAAAGACACTGAAATACATGAGGATGAGGAGAAAAGTAGTGAGGAGAGGAAGAATCTCAGAATGAGGAAGAGGAAGAAGTTTGAACCTGAGCGAGTGTACGCTTCAGAAAATGAGGGCGAGGAAGAGGAATATAATCCTGGTCAGAGTTCTGTCAGTAAGGTTGTTAAAAAAAGAAAATCATGACCAAAGATTCTTCCATAAAAGATGAAGATGTGAAGTTGATGTATTATGTTTGTTTGTTAAGTTGATGAAACATGACTAGAGTAAAATAACTCTGATTAGAAAGAAAGAGATTAAAGTACAATGCACTCAGTTAAAGTCATATATGGCATATTTTTCAGTTCAGATTACCAAAATTAAAACAATCTTTCTATTTGTTTTATTACTTTATATAAAGATAGGACTTTCCTGTAAATTACACAATTTAAATCAATCATGTTTTAAAGATATTAAAAAAATTAGCAATAACCAGTTTATTTACCAACTCCACATTTAAAAAACAGACAAAGTTTGAAGTCGATTTAACTATAAAAAAGTGAAGTTTGGTGAAAATTTTAATTTAAACGTAAATAACATATATCATGTATTTTTACACTCAATCTCGTATTATTATTTTTTAGCTCAGATATGCCATATATATCTTTAAGTAAGTCTGAAATGTAAATGTTTAAAAGTATGATTTTTTAAAAATTTAACATTGGAGAAAGATAATTGAGATTTATAATATTAGGTCTTTGCAAGGTTGTATCAAAAGTTTCAGAGAAGCAAGCATTTTTAATGTAGTATACTGTTAGAGGATATGAGTGTGTATCTAGATTTTGGAGTGCTATTTTTATTTTTTTTATATAAAGAAAAATGTGACTGAAAAAAGGTTTGTATGACATTAAATTTTTTCAAAATAATTCAGTTTTTGTTAATGATAATTGTTCATTGGATAACACTTTTTAATTCTATTTTATGATTTTGCTTATTGTCATAAAACTTAAGTTTCTGTGCTGTGTTTATTACATGTTGTTTATTTTAGCTGAATGGATTGATGACCAAAAGATTTTGTGTGATCTGGTACAATGTCCAGCATCTTTTGAGTTTTTATTTGTCTGTAAATAGTTTTCAAAATTAAACTCTGACAATTTTTATGACTGAATTTAATAAAACTAAAACCTGCTTTACTAAGAGACTGCATTAAATACATTATTCTGTTGTCAATGATTAATTCAGTATGTGATGTTTTGATTGTTACCAAAAATAAACTAATCATCTGAATAATTTAAAATTAATAAAAATTGATAAAAGTCGATAGAAAATTTAAAAATATCTTTCTCTGCATCAATTTTTGTTTCAGTGAACATGAGCGTGTTAAATTGCTTCACATTACTATTTTTTGTATAGCTAGCTGTTCACTGTTACTAAAAACAAAGAATAAATAGAGGATAATATTCAATGTTTTGAAGTTGGATGTGGAATTTATTTCATGAGTGAGACAGGATTTTTTTAATATTTTCACTCGTGCTTCGCACTTGTGAAAATATCAAAAAATCCTGTCTCACGAGTGAAATAAATTCCATATTCAATTACAAAACATTGAATTATTACATTTTCTTTGATCTTTCCTTTGCCTCTGTCTTTTCTCAACACAGTCTCATAGGCTGTGACATCATAGCTTAGCAGTTGTGTTATTGAAAACATTGTGACATGGATTTTAGCAACATATTTGGGAAGAAATTGGCAGTTTTAGTCTCTATCAAGATGGTTTAGTTACTATCTTTATCTTATTACAGGTCAGAAATTATTTTTTACTTACTTTGATATCCTTTCACACTGTGAAAGAATATCATTTTGGTATCCTTTCACACTGTGAGAGAACATCACTTTTATTCAATAAATAAATCACAGTATTTCACTGTTGAAAATGTAATAAATACATGTATGTTATATTATTTCAAGTTGTTACTTGTGTTACTTTTTTCTGATCAGAATTAAACATAGTTCAAATTAAAAGAGTACTCTGTTTTGTTTTGTTTGTAAGTTTTTTGCTTTGTTTATTTATTTTTAGCTCACCTGAGCCAAAACTCAAGTGAACTTTTCTTGTCTGTTGTCATTGTTGGCATTGTAAACTTTTCACAATTCTTCTTCTTAGAACTACTAGGCCATTTCAGTCAAGCTTACCACAAAGTATCTCAGAATGATGGGAATTTAAGTTTGTTCAAATGAAGAGCCATTTCCTCTTTCATGGGAGATAATTCAGAAACAATAAAAAGCGGGGTTGGTTCATTTAAAATTCTTCCCTTGAACTACTAGGCCAAAAAATTAACTTCCTGATATAGTGTAGATTCTAGTTTAATCAAATCATGGCATATGAGTTAAGGTGGGCCACATTGGGGGATCAAAGTTTTACATGGGAATATATGTGAAATGTTTTAGAATCTTCTTCTCAAGAACAGTACAGATACAATACCCTCCAGGGCTAGGATGAGGCCACAGTAGGGGATCAGAGTTTAACTTATGAATATATAGGAAACAAGATGTGTTTGTGAAACACTGATGCCCCCGTATGACAGCATATCTAATGAAAAAGGTTAAATTAAGTTTCTCAAATGCAAACCAAACTCCAAGATCAAGAGATCAAAAATGTTGCCAAAAGAAAACTTGTGTCAAAGGATATACCTGGTAAATATGAAAGCCCAAGCACCATCCATTCAAAAGTTATGGTCAAGATTGATGTTTTCTAAATGTGGGTCAAACTCCAAGGTCAAAGCCAAAGGGTCAAAATTAATGGTATGCAGGGGAAGGCCTTTGCATAAAAAATACACTTACAAAATATAAAAGCCCCTAGCACCAACTGTTCAAAAGTTATGGCGAAGGTTAAAGTTTTTCAAAGGTAGGTCAAACTCTAAGGTCAAGTTCAAAAGGTAAATATTGTTAGTATCCATAGGAAGGCCTTGACACAAGAAATATACCTGTGGAATTTAAAAGCACTAGTACTAACCGTTCAAAAGTTATGGCCAATTTTAACATTTTTTAAAACTTAAAAAGTAAAAAGATCAAGGTCAAATGATAAAAAATATTTACACCCATGGAAAGGTCTTGTCACGATAAATACACATGAAATAAGAAAGCCCTAGCACCAACTGTTCATAAATTATGGCCAAGGTTAAAGTTGGGTAAATTTTTGCAAAAGTGGGTCAAAGTCAAGTGGTCAAATATGTTGGTACCAAGAAAAGGTCTTGTCACAAGGAATACACATGTGAAATATGGAAGCCATAGGTCCAACCAATCAAAAGTTATGGGCAAAGTTTTGCGGACAAACAGACAAACGAACGGACAGTGCAAAAAACTATATACCAATGAATCTTCGATTAAGGGGGTCGCCCGCGTGGCGCAGTGGTTAGAGCGTCTGCTCTAGATTCGCGGAGTAAGGAGTTGATCCTTACGTCGCGGGTTCGAATCCCACTGTGGGACGTGGAGACCGGTCCTTCGGATGAGACCGTATAAACCGAGGTCCCGTGTCGCAGTAGATGCTGGCACGAAAAAGATCCCTCACTGCTCAATGGCCGTAAGTGCCGAGTATAGGTCAGAACTGTAGCCCTCCACCGGCAAGTGATGGCGTCTCCATATGAGTGAAAAATTCTCGAGAGGGACGTTAAACAACAAACAATCAATCAATCGATTAAGGGGCATATTTTTTTTCCAAAATATTTTATAGAACAGCAGGGCCATGATCAGTAATATTTAACTGCTCCTTGGTTGACAATGTGTTGCACTCAGTGTTGCACTCAACCGCATGCAATATTTATATAATGAAATCTTTTCAGAAACAGCAGGGCCATAATAAGGGATATTAATATGATAAGTGATCTTTAAGCAAGCATTCACAGGTAGTGCTGATTCAAGTTTGTACAAATCATGGCCCCTGAAGTAAGTTTTTTTCATGACCTTGGGGCTAGAGTGAGGCTTTGATAAAGGGTAAGAATTTTTCATATGAATAAAAAAAGATTTTTTTTCAAAAAAAGATTTTGTGATGAAAAACCGGAGGGCCAAGGGGACACAGGTGAGCATTGTGGCCCGTGGACTTATTATTTTTCATTTTAGTTCCACAGGTTACAGATCAGAAAAATGTCCGTTTCTCTTTTTGTCAGACTGTCTGTAAACATTTTTTTTCTTCAAAATGCCCTTCTTCTACAGCCTGTGTGGGATTTAATACCTGCATTAGTAAGTATTGATGTAGTTTAAAGCTATCCAACAGTTTAAGGTAATCAATGTATAATGAAAGGATATTGAAAAATTTTGAATAATTTAAACTAGTTAGATATATATTGCTAAATAACGATGAAAGTGAAATGAACCAAATTCACATGACTGTTAACGTATAAGAAGCCGGCCATTTTGCACCTTAAATTTTTTTGAAGAGTTATCTGCCCTTGATGAAAAGAAGAAAATTTTAATTTTGTCAAAATATCTGTGGAAAATGTTTAATTTTATTTCAGATTTTAATAAAGAGAGAGTTTATGCAAATTTTCACTAAGAGATTTGTATGAAGTTCAAACTTCTTTTTACAATATCTTAATAACACCTGCGCTGCCCTAGACTTCAATGTAAAATTCAAGGTGCAATTAATTGGACAATTATCAAAATTTTGTAAATTCCTTTGGTGGAGTTTTTTTTATTTGATAAGACCTTCAAAATGCTACCATGATTAAAAATATCGGACCACTCATTTATTAGGTACAAATTATGATCGTTATACATTGAATACCTTAAAATAGAAAATCATTTCATTTTGTGGTAATTTGAAGAACTTATATTTTTGTGTGATGTCATAGTAAGCATTTCCATGGTGTCCGGATAGGGCCATTTGCAAAAGCTCAACAGCGCGTTCAGAAAAACACGCCGTCGCGCTAATACGCAACACGCCGTCGCGCTAACACGCAACACGCCGTCGCTCTAAAACACAACTCGCCGTCGCGCTATCACAAAGTTGTGTTAGCGAGTTGTGTGACAGCGCGACAGCGTGTTGTGGAAAGTTGCGTTAGCGCGACGGCGTGTTGTGTGACGGCGCGACGGCGTGTTGTGTAAAGCTGTGTATGCGCAACAGCGTGTTGTTTGAAAGCATGTTAGCGCAACGGCGTGTTGTGTATATAAGCGCTATGACGTGTTTTGTATAATTGGGTTAGCGTGATGGCGTGTTGTGTGTTAGCGCGATGGCGTGTTTATCATTTTGCAAAATTGTAGACACAGCTGACTCTGTAGGTCTTTTCATGCAACTTGCCTAGCAACGAAGACTCTGTTTATGTAGTACCTTAGTTTTGTTTTCTTCCAAAACTACATATTCAAGTATGAACCTCTTTTCGATATCGTACAATGTACATACATTATTCGTCTTTTATTATTACCCAAACCACTCGTTTCTATGTTTTTCTCGTGTTTGCATTGTTTGCTTCTTTCTTGTTACACCATTTCTGTTTTTAGCTCACCTCAGCGAAGTTGGGGAGCTTACGCAATACCGTCCGCGTCTCAAGTTAAATTTCTTTTCAAGTACTTTATATTAATGAGAGATACATGGATCGATGCTTCGAAAATGTTTCATTGTACTAGTCATGGTTTCAGATGCTACAATTTAAGCTAAAGAATTACCAGGTTAATGTTTTTGAAGCAGGTTAAAGTTTTTGGAGCAGATCTCATTTCCAAGTAACTGTAAGCCCTATGTTGACATAGGATGCAATATGGATGCTATATATAAGGATGCCCATTACAGGCTTGCTTTGGATGCTGAATCTCACCTACATTTTCCAGATGAGTGACCAGGTTAAAGTTTTTGGAGCAGTTTCATTCTAAAGTAACTTCAAGCTTTAGTTGACCAAACTTGCATGGATGTTGCATCAAAGGATACGCACTCTCAAACTTGCTTCAGATGCTGGATTGGACTTACATTATCGGGATGAGTGACTAGTTTAAAGTTAGAACAAGTCCATTCCCAAGTAATTACAAGCCCTATGTTGACCAAAATCTACGGATGCACACTACTAGATCATTAGTTTAGTGTGGAATTTTGCTTTACTTAAGGTAGGTCAGGACTTTCAAATATGTCTGTCAAACTAATATTTTTTCTCATTTGAATACCTTTAATATCATAACCTAACTAAAAAGCCCATAAAACACATGTCTTTGCATGTTTATTTTCATATAACCTGTCTCAGAGTACATATCTCTCAAAATTCAACAGC